CTAACTAACTAACTAACTAACTAACTAACTAACTAACTAACTAACTACATAAATAAGTAAATAAATAAATAGATAGATAGATAAATAAATAAATGGTAAATCAAATTTGGGGAAAAAAATGAAAACTGTTAACTTGAAGAGGAGAGAAAGGATGGGCAACAGTGATCCTGGACTACAGAGCAAGTTGATGAATGAGAATCATAAAGTGTATCTTTTGGGCTTTGAAGAGTTGGGGAAGCAATTCAGCAAGCAGAGCTGGAGGCAGTAGCCAGAGTAGTTGTCAAAGAGAATAGCACAAGGCACCTGTAGCATGGCACTGACTTGTTTTTGCTTTCTGAGACAAGGTCTCCTCATATAGTATAGGTGGGCCTTGCTGTCTCAGGTTCCCGCCTCCATCTTTCCTGGCAGTGGGACCATAGGCTGCAGGGACTGTAAGCTACCATATTTCAGTTACTCTGAGATGACATCAGGTATACAACATATATATGTTTTACGTGGGAGTGAGAGAAGGGATAACAAACAAATGTGAAACTGTTAATATTTTAGTTTGCAATTTCATTCAAATATAAACAGCCTATTTAAGCCAGGAATGGTAGTGAATACCTTTGCTCTCCGCACAGAGACAGAGGCAGATAGATCTCTGAGTTCAAGGTCAGCCTGTTCTACAGAGTGAGTTCCAGGGCAGCCAGGGCTACACAGAGAAACCCTGTCTCACAAAAAGTAAAAACAAATATTTTTTTTTTGTGTGTGTCTACTTAAGTATCAAGGAAATACAGTGTATATTTTACTTGATCTTAAATAAAACGTTTAGAGCCAGTGAGATAGCTCATTGGCTAAAAAGCATCTGCTGCCAAGCTGGAGGACCTGAAGCCACATGGTGGAAGGAGAGAACGAACCCCCACAAGTTATTCTCTGACTTTTTCAGGTGCACTCTACTACTACAAAATAACTTATTTAGCTGGATGCTTTTCTAGTATGTGTAATATTCAGAGTTCAGCCCCCAGCACTGCAAAAATAAATACAACATCCAATATAATCCTTTTATGTTTATTTACATATTGTGCACGATGCATGTATGAGCCGTGTGTGTGTGTGTGTGTGTGTGTGTGTGTGTAGGTCAGAGGACAGCTTACTGGAATCGTTTTCCCCTTCTGTCATGTAGGTGGGCTCCAGGATTTGAACTTGGGCAGTCAGGATTGGAAGCAGATAGCTACCTGCTAAGTCATCTTGCCAGCCATGTATTTCCTCCTCTTCTTTGTTTTCATCTTCGTCTTCTTAACAGAATGTTACTTCTTTTACTAAGATTAATCTTGTGCATATATGTGTCTTGACTCTCTTCTCACTTAATCACTGTCTAGTCATGCTGAGGTGTGGAAAGAGGAGCCCCATACACATGCCTACAGCATCCTGAATGCAAGGGACAGGGCTTGAAACACTTGCCACCCAGGGAAGCTGCCTTGTGCTCTGGTCGTCCCTGCACACCTCTCCTTTTATTTAACATAATATTTTCAACATGTGAGAATGAACAGTCATTCTGTAGGGCATGACCTGTGTGTGTAGGGCATGTGTTGTTAGAAGAACCCACACAGTGCTCTCAGTGCTGTTGTCCTCCTCCCCCTAAACATGGACAGAAGACAGGACAGAGTCCTGTCAGAATGACCATGAACTTAGAGCCATAGACAATAAAGCTTTGTGTCCTACAAGCAAGTTTATGCTTGGGTAGTGTGCACAAGCTAAGTGTTTTGCTGATTTGGGGCCATTTGTAGAATATTTGTCAGACCCAGAGAGATAAAAGAAGAAATGAATATTACCTGTAACTCCAGGTTTTTGTGGTGCTGGAGAGTAAACACAGATCTTGTTGGGCAAGCTACAGACAAGCCTCTAGTTTGTGTGTTTGGGAATGGGAAGCATCTATATGTGGGGTCAGAGGACAACTTTTCAGGGGTCAGTTCTCTTTGTTTTGAGGCAGGGTCTCTGTTTTTGTCACTGCAGTCAGTGTACTGGTCCTGGAGCTTTTGGCTGATGCTCCTGTCTCTGTCTCCCATTTTGCTGAAGGAATACTGGGATTACACCATATCTGGCTTTTTATGGATACCAGGGACCAGGTTTAATTGTGAGATAAATGCTTTTTTACCTGCAGAGTTATTTCCCAGCCCATCTAGTTCTTTGAATGTCAATACTTAACAGTCTATTTGTGGGCACTTATCAGAACACTTTCGTAGTTTTTTCTCACTTAAGATAGTCTAGAGTAATGAGTTGGCTCATTAGTTTTTAAGGTGCCTGCTGCTAAGCCGGTTCAATCCCTAGGATTTACATGATGAAAGGAAAGAACTAACTTCTACAGTAATCTCCTGTGGCATTCCCCTGACCCCAAATAAATTAAATGAAAAATAAATCTTTTAAAAAGAGATTATATTCTAGTTGGGTGCATCCTAGCACTTGGGATTGCCATAAATTCAAGGACAGCCTGGGCTACAGAGTGAGTTTCAGGAGCCAGGACCATGGAGTGAGACCCTGTCTCAAAAAAAATAAAAAATAAAAAAATAAAAAAAAAGATGAGTATTTGAAGGCATGATTTTTAAAATTGACTTTAGTGAGGTGTATGGTTTACATACAATAAAATTAGTTTTGTTAAGTTTTTTGTTTGTTTGTTTTGAGACAGGGTTTCTCTGTATATCCTTTGTAGACTGGCCTTGACAGGTTGGCCTCGAACTCACAGCAATCCACCTGCCTTTGCTTTCATGAATGCTGGAATTGCAGGTGTGCACCACTGTGCCCAGCTGTAAGTTTTGTTAAGTTTTGACAACAGTTGTAACCACAGTAAAGTTTTCCATAGCCCTGGCAGCCACCTGCTGCTCACAACTTGTGCTGACATCTGCTAGAGGACAGCTCCCTGTGATGGCCTTATTTCTGACAAAGCCAGGCTTTGTGGTTCAGCACTGTCTTCTGTGTTTCTGTAGGATTAATTGGAGGTGGGCTAGAGGCTCACACAGCAGGAACTCTTAACAGCACTTTACATATCCTCTAGTCCTAATTGGTCACACAGTATGCCTAGTTCAGGGATATCTTTGAGCCCTTAGGCTTTGGTTGGCAACCTTAAGTCATCCCAGCTCATTGGTACTTTCCAGCTTCTCCCATTCCCTAATTTCGTTTCAAAGAAGATATCCCCAAGAACCATCTGTGTAGTTTAAGAGGCTAGTCTTTGTCTTTGTTGGTCATTTTTTTTTTCCTTTCAAACTAGTTTCTATTAAGTTGATGAAACCATTTTAACTAGGGGAAGTGGCTTGTTAGATGGGTGGCTAGTTGTACTAGTGATGTTTCCTACCTGGGTTGACATGGCTGTGCCTCATTCTTTGCTAATGACAGTCCAGTGGCCAGCACTGAGTTGGCCTCTTGATTTAACTGATGTGGTTAAATGAATTAGTGTGTGCCTATCTTGACTTGTGTTGCCCTTTCTAGGTGGAAGACATTAGAAACTCATGATGTTGTAATAGAGTGTGCCAAAATCTCTCTGGACCCTACAGAAGCCTCGTATGAAGATGGCTATTCTGTGTCTCACCAGCTCTCTGCCTGCTTCCCTCACCGTTCAGCTGATGTCACCACCAGCCCTTATGTGGACACACAGAATAGCTATGGTAAAAAGCAACTTTGACCATTTTTGTTTGTACCTTAATCTCTGGAAAGCATTATTTTTAATTTTGCTAACTTTTGGTGCTATTCCTAGAGTAAGACTTCTTTTACTGCCTATGGGCTTTTCCTAAAATATTTTAAATTAGAGTTTTCTTCCATTTTTAATTATTTTCTATTTTTAAAATTTTTTCTTTCACAATTTACTCATTATATATCCTGATTGAAGCCCCCTCCCTCAACTCCTCTAGTCCCACCCTCCCTCTTCCCCTAGCCCCTTCCCCTAGTCCACTGAAAGGGGGGGTTCTCTACTATTGCCATCTTTCCATAGCTTGTTAAGTCTCATCAGGACTGCCTGGATCCTCTTCCTCCATTGCCTGGCAAGGCTGCATCATCAGGGGAGAGTGATCAAAGAGCAGTCAACTGAGTTCATGATAGAGGCAGCCCCTAATCCCCTTCCTTCAGAGATCCACATAGAGACTGATCTGCTAATTGGCCACATCTGAGCAAGGGGTCTAGGTCTTCTCCATGCATGGTCCTCCATTGGTGCATCAGTCTCTGCAGGACCCCCTGGGCTCAGATCTTTTAGTTTTGTTGGTCTCCTTGTGGGGCCCCTGTCCCCTCCATGTCCCTCTAATCCCACCCCTCTCTTCCTCCATAAGACTTCCTGCACTTTGCCCAAAGTTTGGCTCTGAGTCTCAGTATCTGCTTTGATCCCCTGTTGGGTAAATCCTTTCAGAGGACCCTCTATAGAAGACTCCCATCCTGTTTCCTCTTTTCCACCACTTCTTGTGTCTATCCTGTTTGACATTCTGCATGAGATTTAAGCATCTTCCCTAAGGTCTTCCTTAGTGTTTAGCTTCTTTAGGTCTGTAGATGGCTGTCCTATATTATATGACTAATATCTGCTTATTAGTGAATGTATACCATGCCTGTCTTTCTGTTTCTGGGTTACCTCACTCAGGATGATCTCTTATAGTTCCATCCATTTGTCTGCAAATTTCATGATTTCTTTGTTTATTCCATTTTGTAGATATGCCACAATTTCTGTATCCATTCCTCTGTTGAGGGACATCTAGGTTGTTTCCAGATTCTGTGAAATAAAGCTGCTGTGAACATAGTTAAGCAAATGTCCTTATTGAATGGTGGGGCATCTTTTGGGTATATGCCCAGGAGTATATACTGGGTATAGCTGGATCTTGAGGTAGTGCTATTCCCAATTTTCTGAGATTGTTTTCTATTTTTCAAGCTTAACTGTTCTTAATTTCTTATCTAATAACATAGCAAATCCCTAGAATAGTCCTGAACATATAACACAGTAAGGGTCCAAGTACTTACAGCTGGTCCCTGTGTTATAACAGACTCAGTCTTATCAGTGCATCCAGTGGGGCCCTACAGGAAGACTGAGATAGTCTGAGAGTCTGGATTCACAGCAGATCTTGGCTTTAGCTGGGATGGAAGCTGCATATCAGGCTGTCAGAAATGGTGTGCCTTTTTAATTATCCTGATGCACAGTTAGAGTCACACCTGCCTGAATTTTAACTTCCAAAAGGCATTTAAAGAATCTTTAAAAGCTGGATGTGGTGGTGCATGCTTTTAATCTGAACACTCAGAAGGCAGAGGCAGTGAATCTCTGAGTTCAAGGTCAACTTGATCTGTGTAGCCAGTTCTAGGGCAGTCAGGACTACACAGTGAAACCCTGTCTCAAAAGCAAAACAAAAACAAACAGCCCTACAAGAATCTTTAAATGTTAGTTTGTTCCCAGGGATGCCCAAGCTCCTGAGGGGTTTTAAGTAGAGAGTTCAGTGTTATCAGAAGGCCTAGAGGATTGTGGTTGTTTATCATAATGACCTGACACCCCATACTCACCCCTGCTTCCTTTCCTTTCATTGCAGGGTGTGCTACTTCCACCCCTTCCTCCACCTCTCGGCTGATGCTGAGTCCACCTGGGCAGCTACCTCAGAGTCTGAGTTCCCCATCAACACGGCTGTTACCTGAGCCGCTGCAAGTATGGTGCCACTCAGTGAGCCTGCTCTCCTCTGCCTCCTGGTGAAGCTGGGCCTTTGGGCAGGATTTAGAATGTAATGGGAAAAATGCATAGTGTGAGTTTCAGGAGGGCGCTTGATAGGAGCAGAGAAAAGAGAAAGCCACTGTTGACACGTGGGTGGCACCTTGGAGTCCAGATACTTGAAATGTGGTAGAGATTTCACAACATGCTCCTTGTAGTTGAAAAGGCTGCATCTAAATTGAACATTGTCTAGAAACCTTGTGCAGGCCTCAGTCTCACTTGCTGATGCTATTCTTTATTGACTTCTAGGCTACTCTCTGGAGCCCATCTGTGGTCTGTGGTATGACCACTCCTCCTACGTCTCCTGGAAATGTCCCACCTGATTTGTCACACCCCTACAGTAAAGCCTTTGGTACCCCTGGTATGTGTGTCTTAGTTAGATTTGATTGGTAGGTTTAGGCCTATGTTTTGTGACAGAGGCACTCATAGTGAATTTGGGGGCCATTTGACAGTAATAAACTTGTTTTTGAAATTTAATATAAATTTCTGACCTTTTCAAAATGAGTAAAATAAAGAGACAGACAGACACTGAGGCTGATCTGGATCCTGAGGCATTAACTGGACCACTATATTTGTAGTGACAACAGTGTTAAAGTAATGACAGCTTTTCTGATGTTTGGCTCAGCCTTGCTATGTATTGTCCTTGTCTCTGAGCAGGTGGAAAAGGAACTCCTTCAGGAACCCCAGCAACCTCTCCTCCTCCAGCCCCACCCTGTCCCCCAGATGACTGTGTGCATGGTCCCACCTCCCAGGCCTCAGCCACACCCTCCAGGAAGGTGAGTGTCAGGCCAGAGATGCCAGTGTCCACACATTCACCTTGTGAAGCCTACTTATACCAGGTACAATCCTGACACAAATGGGATGGAATTGAATCATAATAACTGAAAGCTGTGGCCTGCCAACTCCAGGACCCTCAGTGGATTAGATCAGCTTTCAAATCAACTTAACTGCTGTGTGTCCTTCTCATGGCATTGACAGTACAGACAGTAGTAAGATACTTAGCACCAGACTCTCGAGGTATTGTATTGTCCCTAACGTGTTTTTTAGCTTAGATAGAGGAAAGGGGAGGGGAGAAGCATGCTTCTACATGAGGAAGCAGAAATGATGAGCTTTTCTTAAATCTGGACCTTGAAGTTATGTACATACTCATGAGGAATGTAGCTGGGTATTGTGGCACATGTATAATCCAAGCTCCAGAGGCTGAGGCAGGAGGATTAAGAATTTAAGGCCAGTATAGATAGAGTGAGATTCTGTCTCAAAAAAACCAGACAAATGAGCAAAATAAGAAACTTACTCAAAGCATGTTTTATTGCACATTGCAGGATGAGAGGAGTTCTGCCTTCTAGCTGTTTGAGTCGGAGCTGAACTATCTGCTTTTTTCCTATGGGACATGGTTTACCTGAAAAACAAGTGACTGACAGATGGTTTAGTCAGACCTGAATATTTAGCAGGAAATTTCTTTTTAATTTACTTTTTCAGTACAGGCTAATGGATTTCATTGTAACATTTGCATACTTGTATTTTGTTCATATTTTCTTCTTCCCCTACCTGTGATAAGTTTCTTAAATGATGAAACAACTGTCACTTCAGGATAAACAGCTGACAATATCTATAGCCAATAATAAATACAACTTGCAAGTGAAAATAGGTCATTAAAAAGTTTGTGCCTATTTGAAGTAAGTCTGATCTGCAGAGTGAGTTCCAGGACAGCCAGGAATACACAGAGAAACCCTGTTTCTAAAAAAACAAAACAAAACAAAAAAAAAAACAACAACAAAAGGCTTGTGCCTAGGGCCTGGCATGGTGGTGCAAGCCTTTAGCTGTAGCACTTGGAAGACAGAGGCAGATAGATCTCTGTGGGTTTGAGGCCAGCCTGGTCTATGTAGCAAGGTCATCTTCTGTTACATAGTGAGACCCTGTCTCCAATAAACAAACAAAACATGGCTGGGCATGGTGGTATACACCTTTAATCCCAGCACTTGGGAGGCAGAGGCAGGTGGATCTTTGAGTTCAAGGACAACCTTGTCTACAGAGTGAGTTCCAGGACAGCCAGAACTACACAGAGAGAGAGAGACCCTCTCTCCAAAAACAAAACAAAACAAAAACCACAAAAACAAAAAGTCTTATGCTTGCCATCAATGCTAATTGTGCAAGCAGCTCAGGTCCAGCACCCATGTAAAAAAGCCAGGTATTACTGAGCAGGCCTGTATCCCCAAGCTCTGCTGTTGGAGGCAGGAGGATCGCTAGGGCTTGCTGGCTACCATCTAAGCTCCAGGTTAGGTGAGAGACCCTGTCTCCACAGAATACAGCAGAGGGCGATAGTGCAGGACACTGACATCCTTTTGCTTCTGCACACATATGTGCTCACAGAGAGTAAATGCACAGTATGAAGAGATTGTTTTCAGGTTCCATACTATAACTATGTTCATAAACAGATATAATATTTATATATATATACATAAAATATATATAAATGTATATATTTATATAGAAAGTTTATATAAATATATATAAATATATAAACTTTATTATTACATATCTGTAAGGACCCTGATTTTCTTATGTTTCAGCCAAAGTAACACACAAAAACAAGAGTAGAATGTAAATTAAACAAAATTATTAAAAGAGATTGAAAAAATGTAGCAATTCTAAGTAATTATTGTTTTAGAAAATACAGGTTTTTCATAAAAGTATGCTACTTGCATTAACATGACAGGTGTATTATCTTTAAATTAATAAGTTTCCTTTAATTTCTATTTTAATTTCAAATTCAACATTTTTGGTAGATTTAATGGTACAAATAGAATCTCTTAACATATATATTTATTTTATGTGTATAAGTGTTTGTTTGCCCACAGAAGCCAGAAGGAAGCAACAGATACTTTTATATATCACTCAGGCAGTTATAGATGGTTGTGAGCTGCCATGTGGGTCCTGGGAATCAAACCTGGCTCCTCTGGAAGAGTAGCCAGTGCTCATAACCACTGAGCCATTTCCAGCTTTAATTCTTTACATTTTTTAAGATTCTAAGGGGATCCTGAAGTCCAGCAGTTCACAGGACTAACCTTTAAATTTCCATTACTGTTTGCCACAGAACATGCCCCAGCATTTTCACTGTGTGTATCCATTTTCAGGAAGAAAGAACAGATTCCTCAAGGCCTTACCTTCAGAGACAGCATTATCTTCTGAATGACCGAGGACTAGGTAAACTCCCTGGGTAATGATGGACCTTGCTTGTCTCTTTGCATTGAACTCTATAGTTTAAAAGCTAAGCTAGGTGGAGGAAGGGTGCATTGGAATAAAACTGATGCTTTCTCCAAGAGGTACGAAACACCAGTATTAGAAAGCTGTCAAACTACTGCCTAACGTATCTGCATCTGCTTTGAGCAGGTCAAACTGGGTGATTTTATCTATTACTAGAGATATTATGGCCTGAGAATTATGCTTTCTATGAGGTTGCACTTGAGGTTGGAACCTTTGTAAATGACACATAAGCTTTCTCTGCTTATCTTGAAGAAATGTAGATGTGTGTGCAGTGGTTGCGGCTTTGTGATTGCAAGGGTTGGCCAGTTTGACCTGAATTGTTTCTGTCTCTCTGCAGAGGATCTACCTGGAAGCAAAGGTTCTGTTACTCTGAGGAATCTCCCATATTTCTTAGGTGACCTGGCTTCTGAGGAAGACAGTATTGAGAAGGATAAGGAAGAAGGTAACGGGTGGGGTGCTTCAGGGTAATAAAAGTATCCCCCTTCTGTCTCAGAACTGGGCTCTAGGGTTCTAACTCAGGCTTGCGTGACTTCTTGTGTTGGGGTGAAAGTTGGTGTTTGTTTCAGCATGTACAGGGAAAGGATTGCCAGCTTTCCTTCCCCTATAGAACGTAAACCCAAGCCCATTTGCTTGGTTCAGTGTTTACAGGATTCCCTTGTTTTCTGACCCACATTGCAGCTGCGATATCTAAAGAGCTTTCTGAGATCACCACTACAGAGGCGGATCCTGTAGTTCCTCGAGGAGGCTTTGACTCTCCCTTCTACCGAGACAGTCTCTTGGGTTCTCATCGGAAGACTCATTCGGCAGCCTCTGGGACTCAGGGCTCCAGTGTGAACCCTGAGCCTTTGCACTCCTCCATGGACAAGCATGGGCCTGACACACCAAAGCAAGCTTTTACTCCCATAGACCCACCCTCTGGCAATGCTGATGCCAGTCCCGCTGGGGACAGAGATCGCCAGTCTTCTCTGGAGACCAGTATCCTCACTCCCAGCCCTTGCAAAATTCCACCTCAGAGGGGAGTGAGCTTTGGAAGTGGGCAGCCTCCTCCATATGATCATCTCTTTGAGGTGGCCTTGCCAAAGACTGCCTGTCACTTTGTCAGCAAGAAGACTGAGGAACTGTTGAAGAAAGTGAAAGGAAACGCTGAGGAAGACTGTGTGCCCTCTACCTCCCCGATGGAAGTACTGGACAGACTGATAGAGCAGGGAGCAGATGCACACAGCAAGGAGCTGAGCAAGTAAGCCTGGGCCCTGTTGTTGTTTCTAACTAGCCCAAGGTTTCACACAGCATAGGACCATGAGGGCAGAGCAGGACTACTACCCTTTTCCACCTGCACCCAAGGCAGCCAGTTCTCTCGTGTTTTCTTAGACATCCTTGTATTCTGTTGCTTTTCCATGTCTAGAGCACAGGCACTTGTGCCTGGATGCTCTGTGAGATGGCTGATGTCTGTATGTAGATAAGTTTTCAGTACAGGCCATTTTGTGCCTCTGTTCTGTGTGGATGCTCCAGTGAATGTTTGCACATTTGTTCTCTGAAAAGCAGATGTTAAAACTGAGGTTATAATAGCTCAGAGTTAAGTAATACTGACTTCAGTGTGTCCTTCTTAAGCCAGAGCTTTCTGTTTTCTTTTGTGCTATTGGTGAGAGATGAGATTATCAGCATTCTCTACAGGATCAGGAGGCCAGATGCCCCACAAAACACATGGTTGCTAAAGAGTAGAGGCAGCTTTCAGTCTTCCTTTTTTTTGTTTTTGTTTTTTAAACCCTGTCAGAGAATTCCATGGAAAGAGAAAGAATTACCGGGCTAAGCTGAGTTTGACCCTTTTGCCACTGGTTCTTGGGAAATGTTAGTTTACTCTTCTGTTTGTTTGTTTGTTTGTTTGTTTGTTTGTTTTGAGACAGGGTCTCACTAAATATCCCAGGCTAGTCTGGAACTCATAACTTTCCTCCTGAGGTCTCCCAAGAGCTAAGATTTCAAGGATGTATCACCACCCCTGGCTAGTCTTTACCTTTCTTCTATTTAATACCATAACGAGAATCACAATATTTAAAACTCCACTTATAAAATGGTATTTGATGTATTAGAGTCAGAGTCAGGTAAATGACCTGCATTTATTTTGTATTTATCTGACAGTAGCTTGTCCAAGGAGAGTGACTCTATCTGCATGTAGAGGGTTGGAAGTAGGACTCCTGTTTCCCTGTAGAGGGTGGTTGGGGGGCAGATCCTGGGGCACAGTCATGAAGCCAGAAAGCTCAGCGTTAGGGTTGAGACTTAGTTAAGCATGGTGAACTGCCTCCCCCTTCCCAGCCAAGAGACTCATCCAGCTCAGTGTAGACTTGGAATTTGAAAGTTTTCCTGAGTCACTGCAGATTTTGACCACAAGAATGATTGCCAACCTTGCTATAGTTAAAAGTCTATATTTTTTGGCTGAGGATATAGCTCAGTTGGTAGAGTGCTTGATCCCAGCACCATATAATATGGGACATGGTAGCCCATGCCTGTAGTCTCAGCATTTGGGAGATGGAGGTTGGACGATCCGAAGTTCAACATCATCCTTGGCTGCATAACAAGTTCAAAGCCAGCCTGGGCTGCATGAGACTTTCTTAAAACAACAACAAACCAACAAGAAGTCCACATTCGTACTTTTCAGGTCAGATCAGTAACTTACTACAAAATCTTTTCCTAGGTTGTCCTTACCCAGCAAGTCTGTTGACTGGACCCACTTTGGAGGTAACGTTGCTTCAGCACACATCCAGACCTACTCATCTCCTTTCTGTCCTTGAAGGGTGTGCCCTCAGGAAGGGACTCCCTTTGGTTCCTGTTCTAGTCAGCTTATCAGCTTGGTGAGAGCATCCCAGGTCTTGCAGGCAGTGTTTTGTATGTTTAAGGCAAGTCCTGTGACCTTGGGAGTTTCGTGAAAAAGAGAGTGCCAGGTTTCCCTAGAAAAGATTCCCTTGGTAGGAAAGAACTAGGATGTCTCCCTGGGAAACACAACAGTGAGGGACCAGGGGCAGAGAGAAATGAGGTCAGAAATACCTCCATGGTCAGGTCTCTTGCCTCAGAAGCCCACTCTGGTACCACCTTTGGATGCTTTAAAGAGAAGGAAAATAGAAGCGTCTTTCGTGGCAGTGCTTGGCACTCACACACTGGGAGGTGTCAGAGCTGAATGTGCACGTGTGTGGATACAGGGTCACTCACTGGCCTGGAACTGGCTAACATAGTCCCAAGGATGTTGCCTCTTTTTACATGGGTTTTGTATATCAAAGCAGGCCCCCATTCTTGCCCAGCAGCACTTCCAAGACCCCAAGAATGATGTTTCTTAAGTGAGACATGTGGGAAGGCCTTGATAGAGCTATGTGTAAAGGCCTTTCTGCCACCTTCCCTCTGCTTTAAAATCAGGCTCTCCTCCCTCAGATGAGATCCGCACCCTCCGAGACCAGCTGCTTTTGCTGCACAATCAGCTGCTGTATGAACGGTTCAAGCGGCAGCAGCATGCACTCAGGAACAGAAGGCTCCTTCGCAAGGTGATCCGAGCAGCCGCTCTGGAGGAGCACAATGCAGCAATGGTGAGCAGTCACGGTGTCCACCCACTCGTAGAGAGCAGCTGCCAAAGAAGAGTGCAGCCTTTGTTAGTCCCAGCTCTGCCCTAAGGGGCCCGAGGGCCGGCCACTTAGCCCAGGAGGTACAGGTGTGCACAGCTGGATCTAGAATCCCTCTCAAACTCTCAAGAGCCATGAGAACAGATGACTTTTTGTGACTGCTTGGCTTTGCCTGTGCATATAAAGGGTCAAAGGAGTTTTATTTTTCCTGCTGGTAAGCTGTTTCATGACACAGAACTGAAGGTGTTTGATGTCAACCACACCTGGTTGTTGGTGTTTACTTTACACCTTTTAGGGTTTTTTGTTTGTTTTTGTGGGGGGTTGTCTGTTTGCTTGCTTGAGATTAGGTCTTTCCATTTAGCCCTGGAACAAGAACTCACTATGTAGACCAGGCTGGCCTCAAACTTACAGAGATCCCCCCTGCCTCTGCCTCTGTGTCTTGAGTGCTAGGATTAAAGGTGTGCACCACTACACCTGACTTACCTTAAGCCTTTTTTTTTTTTTTTTTTTTTTTTTTTTTGATGCTTCTTTACCTATTTGGTAGACAGTAAGTGATAGCAGCAGTCTGTGTTGTACCCTGTGGTGTTAAATCATATTGATGAGCATTTGCTCTGTACCTGGTACAGTGGCTGTTCAGTTAGAGCCCATCATTTTAGGGGACTACAGCAGTGTGTATTCAGGGTCTTCCTCAGTAGGTGGCAAGGATTTCAGCAAGTATCAGAAGCATGGTTTTCCATGTGCTGATGTGGAGTTTGGAAAACTTTTGTCAGTAGAGAGGCACCAGACCTATAAGAGTTTATTGGGATTCCAGGGCAGTGTGTGATTGTCAATGTTGCTAACATGTGTTAAGCCTGGGTGTCATGGCTGTGTTGAGTGACATTCAGCTAAAATGATGGTGTCTCTATCTTTGCTAGAAAGATCAGCTGAAGTTACAAGAGAAAGACATCCAGATGTGGAAGGTGAGTCTGCAGAGAGAACAAGCCCGATACAGTCAGCTTCAGGAGCAGCGTGACACCATGGTGACCCAACTGCACAGCCAGATCAGACAGCTGCAGCATGACCGGGAGGAGTTCTACAACCAGAGTCAGGAGTTACAGGTACTGGCTGCTGGATCAGGCCGGTGGCAGGAGAAGGCACCAGCTGTGTCCTCTCACCTTATTCATCTCTCCAGACATGGATGTTTTGCTCTCTGAAATGACAAGTGCATTGCATGTTGAATGGATCTCACTGCTGACAGAAGTTCCCAGCTTTCTTGGTTCTTTGTTCCTTTAGTGTTCCCAGCACCCTGGAGCCAAAAGAAGCAACGTAATGTTGCTCTAAGTCAGTGGTTTTCAACCTGTGGGTCATGACCATCGGAAAACACATATCACAGTTGTGAAGTAACAATGAAAATAAATTCATGATTGGAGTTCCTAAGACTATCAGAAATATGTGTTTTCCGGTGGTTGTGACCCACACGTTGAGAATCACTGCCCTAAAGTAGTTCTGGATGCTCAGTGAAGTTGATTCCTCTTGGCATCAAGTGGCTGTTTGCAAACAACACACCTATATCCAAAATACTTTAGACTTCCCTTTTAAATAGCTATGATTGACAAGGTTAAGACCCTGTTGGCACCACACAGTGTTTTAGTCTTGGAATCCATAGACAGTGACACCTTCATTTCCTCCTCCAGTCTGTTTTTTCCTTCCTACCTTCCTTCCTTCCTGCCTTCCTGCCCTCCTGCCTTTCTCTTTCTCTTTCTTTCTTTCTTTCTTTCTTTCTTTCTTTCTTTCTTTCTTTCTTTCTTTCTTTCTTTCTTTCCTCTTTCTCTCTCTTTTTCTTTCTTTCTCTCTTTCTCTTTCTCTCTTTCTCTCTCTTTTTTCTTTCTTTCTCTCTCTTTCTATCTTTTTTTCTTATCACATAAGCCACCAAAAGCCCAGCTTTGTCAAGATGTGGCATTATCCACAGGCATGTGCCACTGTCTTTACCAACTAATCAGTAGTTCCCATGATGTCCCACAGATGTCACTGTGGTCCCCTCAAAAGAGTAAAAAATTTGGGCCACATTTCTGCAATTTTGGAACTGTCTGTAGTGATCAGGTCTTTGTGATCCCTTCCCCCCTTATTTTAAGTAGTAAGAAACTCAGAATCTCTCCTTTAAAGTTGAAAAGTCTGATATTGATGGAAAAAAGGACAAGAGAGTGGTTGAGCAGAGCAGTCCCAGCTCTGCCTGTGGCTGTACCTGTTGGTTCTCTTATAACTTCACGGACAACCCTCTTTGGTAGACAAAGCTGGAGGACTGCAGGAACATGATTGCGGAGCTGCGGGTGGAGCTGAAAAAGGCCAACAACAAGGTGTGCCACACCGAGCTGCTGCTCAGCCAGGTTTCTCAGAAGGTAAGACTTCAACCCACCTGCTGACTCTTGCTTCAGGGCAGACAGATATATTACGTGTATGTCTGTATTGGCGATCTGGCAGGGAGTGATTCTACCCAGAAACATTTGGAGATGTTGGTGTTCCTGTCACTGAATGGGTAGGTCCTATGGGTACTGCCAAATGCAGCATACCCTCCAGTGTAGATGGTCCTCACAACAAAAGTGCCTACTGAGCTGTGGCCAGGCACATCCCATGGGGCCCTTTTTTAATGCCCTGCTTTTGAAGTTTGTTAAGGCTTTTGAGCTGTGACTTCCCAAAGGGATTTAGTGAAATCTGTGTTGTGTATTCAAAAACATGTTAGTTCACTGGGGCTGTATCCTGTAGCTGCCTCTGCTCCTGTGTTCTTGGGCTACTGCACTGAAATGAATCTGTGTTGCTTCTGCACAGAGCGCAACCCAAGTTTGTTTCTGCTGCCCTTGGGTCCCTTCTTTCCCATTAGCCATGGACTCAGTGGGAATGGTTTGTTTGGCCCTGCATTCCACTGTGCTCCTTGATAGTCGTTGTCACTGTCTGTTGGCTAGTTTTGCCATGCTAAACTTGGACTTTCTCATTTCTGTCTGGCAGCTCTCCAATAGTGAGTCGGTGCAGCAGCAGATGGAGTTCTTGAATAGGCAGCTCCTGGTGCTTGGGGAGGTCAATGAGCTGTACTTGGAGCAGCTGCAGAGCAAGCATCCTGACACCACCAAGGTATGTGGCCAGGGCACTGAGAGACACAAAACTATACTGCCTGGCCCAGTGTTACGAAGTGCATGAGAAGACATGCTGCAGGCATGTGCCCTGGCAGAGCTGCTTTGCAGGGGGTTCAGGCTACATGAGTGTCAGTTACTATTCTCATATCTGTGACAATACTGACTGACAAAAGTAACTGAAACAAGGGAAAATTTATTGGCTCTCAGTTACAGTCCACCTTGTTTGAGAAGACATGACGTCAGGAGTGTGAGGCATCTGGTCATATGATCTACAGTCAGGAAGCAGGGAGAGCTTGGTGTTCAGCTCATGTTCTCCTTTTCATTCATTCTGGGACCCCAGCCAGTGGGATAGTGCTGCCCATATTTAGGATTGGTCCTACCACTTCAGTTAACTAGTCTAATAATCTCTTATAGACAGTCCCAGAGGCTCATTTCCGTAGTGATTCTATATCCATAAGGTGATAATATTGGCCATCACGCTGTAAAAGCACGAGGAGGGAGGGTAAAGCCAGCTCTGTCTAGCACAGCATTCAGTAGCAATGGTATTGCTATGCTCCGGCACCATGCTGCTTTGTTTTCTTTTCCTGTGACTCCAGTTCTGCTGAAGTTTGTTTAGTCCTGGTGTCAGCACCAAGACCAGTTAGTGTTTGCAATGTGCTGAGACAGACATTTATGTCACTGTACAGTCAGCTCAGACAGTGTTAGCAAAGGAACTTGGTTGGAATTTCAGTAGGGTGTATTCTGGTGCTCCTGATACTGCTCCTCCATCAAGTGCCTTTAGCACCCTTGGGCCAAGGGTCTATGAAATGTCACCCATGGTCTCTAACTGAAGAGTATTGTTTCAGAACCCAGGAGATGTAATTTAGGGTAGAGTTGCTTCTTAACTAGCAGCTCTTCTCAGCAGCCAGTTTAGACTCTGGAGGATGTCAAAAAGTGAAACTAATAGAGACCATCTATGAATTAGTCTGGAGGCAGAAGAGTTTCAAGAGAAGATGGGGAGCAGACCCAAGGATCCACCCCTAAAGAGCTTGCTGAGCCATGTTTTTTTGAGGTAGGCTCCCCCTGTGTAGTATTGGCTGCCTTGAAAATCTCAGACAAGACTGGCCTTGAACTCACAGAGATCCACTTGTCACTACCTCCCGGGTACTAGGATTACAGGTGTTGCCATCATGCCTGGCTGCTACTGAAACAACTTTTTGATGCCTCCAAAGAGAGGATGCATAGGTATAATGGCTTCTGTTATTTGGACCCTAAGACTGGCAGCGGCCATGTTCCTTCCTCAGAACTGTTTCACAGTTATGATTTGGGAAGTCTACTCATGTGGGCTGGGATGCTATCTGTTGTACATCACAAAACAAAATGGATAATCTCACAGTTTTATTGTTTTACATGACAGAAAGTCATGAAGCAGGTGAATTCCAAGTTGATCAAAGTGGCAGCTTGGGGCCAGCATGAGGAAGCCAGGCTCTTTGCACCCTTCCCCCTGCCATCTTACTCTGTTTGCCTTGTCCTCCAGCTAGCCATGCTGGTGTGCCAAGTGCTATAGTTTCAGTCCTCATAGACCACTCGTATGATGTTCCCCTCCTGTGAGTGCGTGTCTCCCAGTAAGAAAAAATTTTCTCAAACCCTTCTGCATGCTTCCTATCCTATCTTCCTTCTTGTTAGGTTTGAGGGGTACTTGTTACTAGCCTGCGAGGGCCTTGAGTAGGCCAAGATATGCTTTTGAGTTGGGAGCTGGGTTGCTGTTCTTCAGGCCCATGAAAGAGGGGCAGGCTGTGAGGGTAACTTGAGATGTCAGAGTTTGCTGCTTTAATTACTTGTGTGAGTATCTAAAAATAAGATCAGGTGTCACTGCTGCTGTTCAGGGTTCCTTCTAGGGCCCTGCAAGTTTCCAGATGCTTAGTTTGTCATAAGATGGTCCTATGTTGGAACAGAAACCTTGCACATCCTCCCTTGTACTGGTAACTGTCTCTAGGTCATGTGTACATGCCTAAAGTAAGGTAAACACTATATAAGCAGCTATTAACCTGTATTATTCAAGAATAGTGACAAGAAACCAGCATGGCGCACTCAGTGCACACAATGAACATATTACATTTATAGCTGGTGGGGTCTGTGGCTGTGGAGGATAATTGTGCTGCCTTTGTTACAGAAGTCAGCTGTGTTAGCTGGAGCTGTTCAGCACAGCTGGGAAAGCAATGTTTTCATCCATTTCTGCCTTCCACACTCTGGAAACATCTGAATTACTGGTCAGCATTCAGGCTTAATGCCTTCTGGAAAGGTCGCCTCCTTGTAATTTACAGTTTAGGCTCTTTTTGAAAACCTTGTATGGAGTCGGGTATTTGTGTGCTAAGCACACAGTAACAATTGTTAGGAAAGCTTCCTTTCCACCTTTTGGTGCTCATCAGTCTACACTTCCTATGCAGGAGGTCCACCTGCATGACTTGGCCTACAAACTTTGACAGGTATCCAGCCTAAAATGCCGCTTCTCCTCAGCAGATAGTGCTCCCTTTGTGTCACCATCTCAGCTGCTAGAAGAGGGAGAAAAAGTAAAAAGAAGGCAGATGGCCACAGTGCCATTAACCTGAAGCTACAGCTGCACAAATTGCTTATTTTATTGCAAATGGCTTCTTCAGGGCATTGTGACAGGCATGATCCTAAGGGCTGTGGTCCACTTCTGTGTCTTTTCTACTGGTACCATATGTACCCTGCAAACAGAGTGAACATGGCTTTCTCTCAAAGAGCCCTGACATTATTTCTAAAGTGGTCATCTTTCGTAAACACACTGAGGTATCTGCTGTACAACGTGTCCTTTGATGCTGTAGATGGTTTCCTTAGGGATAGACATCAAAAATGCCCAGCCACCCTACTTGCCAGGAAGTTGTCCTCACTTAGCTGGATCAGGGCACTACGTGCCTCTGAGTGTTGTTGAAGACACTTCTTGTAGTTATTGCACACTTGTCTGTGAGTACTGACTCCAGACCTTTTTCTAGGAAGTAGAAATGATGAAAACTGCATACCGGAAAGAACTAGAAAGAAACAGAAGCCACCTTCTCCAGCAGAATCAGAGGCTGGATGCCTCACAGAGGCGAGTTTTGGAACTGGAATCTCTTTTGGCCAAGAAAGACCACCTTCTCCTAGAACAGAAGAAATACCTTGAGGATGTCAAGAGCCAGGCGAGGTGACTAACCGGAAAGGTGTGGGTGGGGTGGGGCCCCTCCCGTGCTCTGAACCCAGCCCTGTCTTTCAGTGGACAGCTACAGGCTGCAGAGGGCAGGTATGAGGCTCAGAGAAAGATCACCCGAGTGTTGGAGCTGGAGATCCTAGACTTGTATGGCAGGTTGGAGAAAGATGGCCGCTTACAGAAACTAGAAGAGGACAAAGCAGAGGCCGCTGAAGCAGCAGAGGAGAGGTGAGAGCAGCTGCATCAGAGCTCTGTGGAAGGTTCTGCCTGCAGTGCCTCAGATGTAGAGGCTACACAGCAGGGTGGCTTGGGGGCGGCAGTAACAACCAGCAGGTCTGACATCCTCTGCTTGTCCTTTCCAGAGAGCCATCTTCTGTCTGCTGGCTGTTCTTAACCATTGCAGATTATCATCCAGCATAACCCCACTTGTCACTTGGGCTTCAAGTGAGACTCTTGCTTGTCTCTACTATTACAAAACAGGGCAGGGAGCTGGAGGTTGCCTTAGTGGTTAAGAGCACTGCTATTAGAGAGGACCTCAGTCTGGTTCCTAGCACCTAGGAAATCTGTCAGTGCCTTCTGGCCTCCTCGGGTACTCAGACACACGCGTGGTGCACATGCTGCATACACTCATATACGTAAAGTCTTCAATTAAAGAATGGGCAGGCAGGGTTCAGGAAGCAAGTGTGATTTCACATTTCCTCTAAAGTGCTGCAGGTACCAATGGCATTCCCTCTTGCTCCCTTACAGGCTTGACTGTTGTAGTGATGGCTGCTCAGATTCCTTGGTAGGACATAATGAAGACGCTTCTGGCCACAACGGTGAGACCAGGACCTCCAGGCCTAGTGGCACCCGGGCCAACTGTGGAGGTAGAGTCACTGGAGGTGGCAGCAGCAGCAGCAGCAGTGAGCTTTCCACTCCAGAAAAACCCCCGAGCCAGAGGTTCAGCAGCCGGTGGGAAACCGCCATGGGAGAGCCCTCCAGCAGCATCCCTACGACTGTTGGCTCACTTCCTAGTTCCAAAAGCTTCTTGGGCATGAAGGCCCGGGAGCTGTTCCGTAATAAGAGTGAGAGCCAGTGTGATGAGGATGGCTTGACCATCAGTAGCCCTTCTGAGACCCTAAAGACAGAACAGGGTAAAGACTTGGGCATGGAAAACAAGACTCCTCTGAGTCTAGACGCCCCACACCCATCTTCCCCAAACTTGGACAGTATGGGGCAGCTCCATATCATGGACTACAATGAGACTCATCATGAGCACAGCTGAGGAGGGTCTGTCAGTGTTAATTTGCGTCTTTGTCGGCACAGAACAGGAGGTGTGAATGCACGTTCTAGGCTTTTCTGTTTCCGGGGTCTGAGCAGCTGCTTCTGTGGTGGAAATGGGACAGGTCCTTTTGACAGAGGGTGGGATGTGGGATGATGGTTTTTGAGTCTGGCATTGAGACGCTTTCCTTCACCCCACCCCAGCCTCTTTCATTTACCCAGCAGTATGTACTAATTGAGGGCCTGTGTGTGTCCCTTGTAGCTTTATTTTCTTCCTTCTCCCACCAAATGGTTGTGTCATTCGAACCTGTGCAATATGAGGCCAAATTTCATCTTTGGGTCCAACACACCACTCTTGCTTTCCTGAGGTTCAGATAACTGGGTTGGCTCTTGGGTAGACCAGGCAGTTAGTGGCACTGCAGGTAAGTCCAGTTTTGTCCCTTCCAGGAGGGTGTAGCTTAAAAAGCTGATTGCCTTTACAGGAGCATTTTCATTGGTTTTTGGTTCTAAAGTTCAGCATCTAGCCACAGATCTAGAGAAACTAGCCCATTCAGCTCTGCCTTTTCTTGGCAGCTCTGATGTGCTTCCTGGAAGGGTCTGTGAGAATACCAGTTGTTTTGACAGTGTAGTTGGCGCTGTGGAGCCACTCTGCCTTACTCTCTGGAAAGCTCTTACCCCTCTACCCCACTACCTCTTATTTATTTGGTATTTGCTTGAATGCTGGCACCATGCTGCCTGTGGGTGGGTGTGTGGGTGGTCGTCCTGCAGTGGAGAGTGGTTGCTGAGAGGGGCACCCAGGATTCATGCAAATGTGCAAGTATGCATCTGCCTGGCCCTGCCCAGCTGAACCATGGTTCCACCCTGCATGCAGCCTGTTTGCCTCCCCTTGGGTCCATTTGGTCGCCTTGGGTCCAGCTGCTTTGTGATGCTGTGGCAGACAGGCTCAGAAGAGTTGGAGTTTACTTAGAGCTTATGTGATGATCGTCGTTGGGCTGAGGGTTGCCGCACCACAGTAGGTTCTAGCAGCTTTTTACACCAATTCTGACTTTGCAGGAGAGACTCGCCATGAAGCTTCATGTCGAACACTTCTGTTAGGAACAGTAGAGCAACTCAGAGTCTGATAAAGGCCAGTGGCCTATGTCCACTGCCTGCTCTCATGCTCACAAGAGATGACATCGGTCACAGTCAGAACACAGTGGTGGCAGAGTCCAAACTCAACAATGCTCCTGAAATAAATGCTGGAAGTGTAAGAGTTGTTGCCTGATATTCCGGCCTAGGCAAGGAGAGACTTGGGAAGGAGCCATGAGCTTGGTTTTCTTATTTCTATTCTGTCTCATATATGAAGAACAGAAGGTTTAGTTAGGACAAAGCTACAAAACCTAATGGTATGAAATCTTAGTACATATGAAAGTTTCCAGCCTGAGGATGAAAGTCTTTCTTAAGGGTGCAGTAAATATTCTAGCATCCTTAAGTAAGGTGAGACTCCATGTCACCATGGCAGTGCTGGCTGGAGACCTGTCAGGGCCATTATCTCTGCTGTAGCTGACTGACAGCCAGCCCATAGGAAAGAGTGCCACTGACCAATCTCAGACCAGCAGAGGGCAGCCATTGCCCCTGGACACTCAGAGTGTGGGTATCAGGATGCCATGCTTTTCATTTAGCTTTGCCCAAAGGAAAGCTTAAAAACCAGTGTTCTGTCACCCGATCAATTGTAGAAAGGGCCAGGAGAACATATTGTGGGAGAAAGATCTCACAGGTTAATGGTAGACACTGCTCCTAAGAGTTGATCCCACCACCACCAAGATCTGTGACAGAGAACAAAACCCTTTTCACTACATCAGAAAACAAAACAAAACAAAACAAAACAAAACAAAAAACCTTACAGACTGCATGGGTGATGAAGTTTAGGAAGAAGAGGTGGCAGCATGGTAAATTAGACTAAAGTATAGGCTGGCATCTCCATAGACTACGCGTGGGCCTCAGCACTTTCCTCCAGCCTGGCTGTTCCTACACCCAATGACAGAACCTGAGCATCCTCTGTGGTTTGAGCCCCAGAAGGCTGTTAAGGCTTTTTTCAGCTAAGGTTGCGGCACTGCAACCCAGATTTATCTTGAGGGTACCCAACCTAAACATTGGCTCTTTTCAAAGGACTCCAAGATATAATGGATGGTTGGGTGTATTTAGCAGTAACAGCATCTGGGGGCCATTGGGTCACCTGATGCTGCTGCAGGCAGGAGGGAAGCTTTTGAGAGGCAGCTGAGGCCTAGGCCAAGGTTTTAGAATGGTAGGTGTCATGGGTAGCCTGGTATGTGTGAACATTGGGGTTGAGTGGCCTCCATCCTTTAATCACTTGGAGTGTGTGTTGTGGTTGCCAATGGGCCCCAAGGAGACTGGAGGCTGTGTCCCTTGCAGTCTGGAATCTGTTAGAGGTAGCCCTACAATATCACTGGGTTAGAGGAGCAGGCCAGTGTCCAGGAGGAGCTAAGCATACATCTCTGTCTGATATCCCTCCCTGAGGTCTGTCAGAATTTGCTTTGGGAGCAAGAGCAATATGAGTGTGAACATGTCCTCCCTGGAGCCGGCAGCACAGCTGCCAGGGCCGAGTGCTGGCCTCAGTAGCTTTTCTGACCCTTTTAGGAAGAAAGGTGTATTTTTCTGGACTAAGCTGCAGAAGGTTCCAACTGTGTGTGACATGGTTAGCAAGGAGTCACTCTTCTGAGAAAGTAAACTGTCACTGCACTGGAAAAGTCCAGGAAGCCACCAAGCACTTCCCAGGGTGGTGGCAGCACCATAGGTGGCAAGCCACAGACTCGGGGCCACTTGCAGCATATGGGGGCTCTAGTGCTCTGAGAAGGAGAAAATATTAGCAGTTGAATGGTTGGAATAAAAGGACCACAGAGCTCAGGTTGGCAGTGAGCATAGAAAGTGAGGAAGGTGTAACAACTGAAGTATAGTGAGACCCGCCAGTGGGAACCTACCACTTGAAGAGCAAACAGAAGTACTGTAGGAAGGTGCTGTTTTCCTCAGTGAGCAGTGAGGGTGGGAGACACTGAACAAGCTGGTGGAGGTGCAGGCATTGCCCAGGCTCAGCCTGTGCTGCAACACATGGAGTCTGCCTCAGCCAGAGGCCAGTGGCCCTGCACACCTTCAGATGGCAGCCTGCATCTGCCGCACCTTTATGGTTAGCCCACGGTGTAAATCCACTACTGTGTAGATTGGAAAACAGATCCAGTGTGATGATGTTGGTGTCCCTGCGTACATCCAGAGGTCTGTGGCATGTGCCTCCATCCTCCCCCAGTTTGATGCAGAGTCACTGGTTGCCCTGCGGATAGCCTGTGTAGGTAAAAATGGGAACGGATCCCTGGGCTGCTGCTGTGACCCTTGTTCTCATTCAGCTTCCCAGTCAATGAGTCTCCATTGTGTCCAGGGCAGCAGTGTTTCTATCTCTGTGTCACCCTGCACTTTTAGTATAGAGAAGCCTTTGCAGCTACAATGGAGACTGCACCCCGACCACTTTTGGTCTTATAATGAAATTAATGGGGGCTGAGAAGTGCCCTGTCCTTCCCCGAGCCCCAGTTTTATCCACCTTTGGATAGGTAGGCTGCCTGAGCCACTGGAGGAGGTCTTCACAGGACCCCTGGAGTTTAAGAGCTCCCGCCCAACCCCTCTTCCTGCTCCACCTCACACAGTGTTGGAAGGGAGGGGAATATGATGCTGTTTGTTAGCTCTGGTGGATCAGAGGCAGGCAGGCAGGCAGGCAGGCATTTTTGCACTAGGAAGATTCAGTGGTCACTCTTCATGAGACTGTGGACCACAAACACATTATGGAGGAGCAGGTTTTGCTAAGACATAGTTTAGTTTTATAATCAATCATGGATGAACCATATACAGCTAACTTGGAGTTTAAGGGGGGAGGGTTCCCATCAGTGAACATGAATCAGATTTTTAAAAAAAAACTTTAGTTCAGTGGAAGTCGCCTCTTCTCAAAAGGTTTAAACGTCCCCACTATGATCTTAAAAGCATGTCAAACAATCCGCATCAGATGCCATAGATACAGGCTGCAGGAGAACATGGTACAGTCAGTGAATGGAATAAAGGTTTGCTGTCCTTAGAATGTTCTAAAATGTCAAGGCAGTTGCTTGTGTTTAACTGTGAACAAATAAAGATTTATTGTTTTGCACTCCTCAGTGTTGAGATGGAGTGACTTTGTTCTGGCCTTGGGAGCTTGGGGGTGAAATGAGGTAGTCCAAAGCATGGCAGTCTGTCTGGATGGTGGTATGGTCGTGGTGGACAGTCATTAACAACTACTGGACTTGTTTAGGAGAACAGAAAATCCTTCTGTCTTAAACTTGTGTCCCTGTGAAAAGAGCAGTATGTGGAAAAGGGCCACCTCTGACAGTGGCCACCTGAGTCTGGATCCCAAGTCCTTCTGATGGAAGCCAGCAGAAGCTTACCCCAGGCCTGGCCAGCTGTGTTTGTGATATCCCATCATCACTACCTGCTCCCTGGTGCCTCTGCCCTTTAGATATTGGGCAGAGGTGGGAGAAAACCTTTACATAATTTTGAGATTCCTCCTTCTCCTAGTTCCTACCACTCAGCCTGGGCCTTAGCAGGGGAAGAAACTGTGTGCAAGCTGCATGCAATGCCTCAACCAGGACATGTCTGGAATTACTGGGCTGCCCATCCTAGCAGCAACAGACTCAGAGGTGACAGGTTTTTGCTTATCTGGAAAACTTGGGTTGTCTAAACAGGTCTCTTGCTAGACAAGGATTTCACCCTTGGAGAAGCCTGAAGGCTGGTCTTGGTGACCTGAGCGTCCCAGAGGTAGCCCACTCTGAAGGGAAGTGTTCAGCTCACTGCAGAGGCCTCTGGTGCTGTCCAGGAGGGATCTTTGCCTGTGTGGCCACTACCCAGTGTCCTCTGATGTCTTACAAGTACAGTGTTTTGTTTTGTTTTGTTTTGTTTTGTTTTGTTTTGTTTTGTTTTGTGTTTGTCGGGTAAATCCCAGGAAAGCAAGCCAGGCTGAGAAGTGGTAGAACACTTTATTCTTGAATGTCTCCCCCCGAGGAAGCGACAGTACAGAAGCTAAGTCGTCCCCTGTGAAGGGAAAAACCAACAGTCAGACCTTACTTCTGGCGAGCAGAAACACCAGAAATACACATTTTACAGTGTGGGGAGACCAGACTGCCGTCAAGACCAGGCCGTTCCTTGCTCAAGAGCAACAAAACAGAATTCTTGTAACTTCTGCTATAGTCTCCCCTCTCCCAGATAAGAGGGGGAACACTCATCCCTTGTTGAGTTCAGCCTTCTAATCCCCCAACCCCCACCCCACCACATACCTGTTCATGAGACCTTGCAGCTCATCCCTAGCTTGCCTTTACCAAGACAAGGAGCTAAGTGGGCCCCCTCCAGTTGGCTCACTGCAGAGCCAGAGGCCACAGTGTGAGCAGGAAGGCTGGGCATCAGCAGAGTGCCCTTCCTCTAGGACATGCCCTCCCAACACCATATTGTTTGGGTAGCTCCATGAGTGAGGATCCCTCTGCAATACAGAGGTCAAAGAGGCGGAAATGTTAGAAGTGAAAAGCAAGAGATAGATTCTCAATTGTGTATTGGCCTCCAGTGAAAATAGATGACCAGTGGAAGCCAAGGTCGTTGACAGTCAGTTACAGTTTCCCACCAGCTGGTCTCCAGGGAGGCTTCTGGGAGCCTTTGCTTTTCTCCCTAGAGTTGAGACTTTCTTTGGCAACCTGCTTATGCTTGCGTTTTTCTAACCAGAGCTGGAAAACCTTGTGCTGAGCAGATTTGGTAGAGGGTGCTTTAGCAGCTCTCTGGCTACCCAGGACCTCACTCACTTGCTGCAGCACTTTGCGAGGCAGCTTCTCGGAATGAGCAATCCATTCTTTCATTAAGTCCAGCACTATAGGGATGAGGCTGACTACGCCTCCATAGTGGTTCTTGGCCTCATCACAGCTGAGATGGTTCACCACATCATGCGGGTACCTGCAGGACAGTGAGCAGGTGGTGAGACCTACTGAGGTCAACAGGCCAACCTAGGAGGCATGAGACCTAGACACACATAACCTCAGGCTCCATCCTCATGTGTTCTGATTTTGAAAGTTCAAGGCAACAGGCCCCAAGTATTTTGGGGGCAGATGATAAGAGCTGTCAACCACCGGAACTAGGGACTAGAGAATCCCCTGTCATCTTCGTAGAATACTGGCTACTGCCTTCAACCCTTCTCACCCTAACATCTAAAGAGCCCACTGAAATGGATTCATGGCACTCTGGGTTTCTCCATGGTCAACATGGAACCTCAGGGGCTATAACTTAGGTGTCCCACTTCTGTAACTACCTTCTCCCTAGTCTGGTTCTAAGTCCCAAGAGTCACTTTTTTTGTCCTCCTATTTCTGTGACCTATTTTTAGGTCAGTCATTCCAGTAGGCTGTGACCTGTGCCAGCAGGGGTCCCTGTCCTCTCAGCAGAGACTCTGCCCCCTGAAGGACTTACTTCGCTCTGAGGCAGCTCAAGTCATTGCTTTGGCTAACCAGGGTTTTGCATTTTTCGAGAAGGCTGTTGGTGACAGAGGTGCCAGAGTGCAGGGCTTCAAAGTGCTGGCAGAGCTTGTTAAGCTCTGAGCAGATGTCCAGAAACATGACCAGAATCCGCCGGTCTGTAGAGTTATTGCAGTAGTGTTCCATGTAGCTCTGTACCTGCAGAGGCCAGCATATTAGGAGCTGGAGAAATAGAGGACACTGCCCCAGGTCTCCCATGATCATGGACTTGATGCCAGACACGAAGCATTTGAATGTACAGGTCATGACACACAGCTAATGTATTCTAAGCACCATTGGCGGGGGCGGGGCAGGGGAAACCTTTCCTAAGTCCGATCTCCCTTACCACTTAGGTCCACACTAGGTAGGGACCTTTTTGAGTCTTCATTTTACACACTAAATGCTAGCAGATTCAACAAGTGAAATGACCTGTTTTGGCTGCCAACAGAAGTGGCCTGACTGATTTGCCTCCTCACACAGTGGCCTGGGCTCCACCACCCGACTTCCCCAAACCACTGAGGAAGAAACAAGAACCCTTTGGGCTGGTTGTACTACACGTTGGAGTTAGAACAAGTCAGCTACAAGCCTGACTGGGTAAATAACTGTCCACATGAGGACAATGTGACGGATAGATTGTCTGTACCTCAACCCAGATTCAGAGACCATCTCCAGTGGGGGGAGGGCTTGGGGGGAGGGTGCAAGCTTATACCAGACTTTCATATAGCAGGTAAACTTTGAACCCCCACGTGACTGTGCAGGTAGCATGGGCTCCTTGCCAGAGGGAGCCACACAGTGTGTTGAGAACACTCATTCTCTGATCTGTTTTCCACTCGCCTCCTTGGTTGGGGGTAGGGATCCCTTTGTGGGTCTTTTGCCAGCTAGTTGGGACCACCTGGAGACTTCGCGTCTGAGCACAGGCCAGGTGAGATAGCTGGTCTCATGCCAGGGAGGGACTGCCTCGGCTACAGACTGAGTAATGGATTCATTCATTCCACGGCCAGCTGCTACTCTCCATGAAGTGAAAGGGGCACAGCTGCTTCCTCCACACTCCAAACTCTCTCTCTGTCTAGACAGGGCCACTCTGCTTCTTAGTGATCTGAAGGGATTCCTCCCACGCTTATAAGGGCCAGAGGCTTCCAGCAACACACCTGTCCAGGTACCAGGGGCGGACTGCATTCCAAGTGTGACCACAGCACAGTGGCATCCTTGGGCTCCCTGGGTATGTAAGGGCCACCCCTTCCTAAGCCCAAGGTGGGAAGCCCCACTATGTAGGTGCTTAGGTAAGTGGGACCAGTCTCAGCCTGCCCTTGGGAGACTGAGCTGCTGAGAGGATGTAACCGGCTGCCCTTTCAGTAGTTGAGGACTGTAAGCACGGGCCAGTGGACCACTGTGATAAGGTGGACGCAGATGCAGGTTTCATGGGTGCATTTTGTTCATCAGCATTTTTTCAAGTAAAAAAAGAATATTGAAGGATGTTTGCTTGGTTTCCTCAACCTCATTTCTCCTGGGTACATGGAGCCTGTATCACCCCTACTTCCAGCCCCCTTTAAACAGGCATCCTTCAGGTGAGCTTGACCCTTGCAGTGGCCTCTTTTTAGTTCTAGGGTCCAGCGTGTGTGTGTGTGTGTGTGTGTGCGCGCGCGCACGCGCGCGCACACGCGCGCGTGCATGCGCATTCGCGCTCGTGTGTGTTCCTAGCTTCCCTGGTGACTGGGGCCTGAACTTCTTAGAAGGCCTCCAAACCCCCTCCCCCGCAGTAAACTTGGAAAATAGCTGACCCTTAAAGAGTCAGGTTAAATAAAAAGGCCTGCAAAGCCTCCATCAGTGAGTGGGGCCAGGAGCTAGCTTGTGGCAGGATCTATTGAGAAGGATCACGATCTTCCTACTCACCAACAAATACCCTATATGCTCAACCTAGGTCTAGCAGGTGACAGCAGGCACTTGAGTGCTTAGTATGGGCCAAGAGTTTCCTGTGGATGCTTTCATTTGATACGCTTTACAGGTGGGTAAACTGAGGTTTAGTGAGATCTGTTCACTGGCCCAAGCTACAGGGTGGCAGATGGACTTAAGCCCAAGCTGGCTGAGTCTTGAGCCCATATTTTCATCACTGTTACATGTGTGGTAGGTGGGGATAACTGAGGGACTCTCTCCAGTGAGAATCCGAGTCCTCATTGCAACCAATACGCACTCTCTGGGGCCCCACAGTTCCATGTGTTGGGTGAGAGGACAGGGGACGGGGTTGGAAGACTAGCCAGCCCCGGCCCGCCCCCGCTGGCCAGGCGTCACCTGCTCAATGCTGACGATGGGCCGGATTCTGTCGTGGGCGTTCTCCCGGCAGTGCTCCAGAGCTGCGATGAAGGTGAACTGCTGCTGCTGGAAGAGCTTGTACTTCTGCTCGATGCTGCGGAGGGACTCTTTCACCTCGTTCATTGTTGTCCTGGGACCTCGGGGGGCAGCGCAGGTCTGCTGGGAGGAGGAAGAGAGCCTTGAAGCCCCAGGAGCCAGAGTTTCCATTGCAGCTTTGGAGGGAAACATCCTCCCAAAGGAATGCTGTGTCCCTACTTGGTGGGAAAGGAAGCAGGTCCTGGAAGCTGCAAGCCTGTTCTAGAACCTTCAAGTTGTCCACCAAGTCTGAT